GTTAAACACTAATGCCTTGTTTTATGTCTGATTAAGTTGCTGTTTGGTATAATTGACACATAATTATTGCACACGTAGTTTTTCTGGAATAGGTCGACAAACAAGCAGACGGATCACCTGATGGTAAGCAATCGGCGTCGCCCTTAGACCCCTGCAAAACTAGAGGAGTTACAAACGCGTTGCTTGCCTTGTAGAAATTGGGCCTCCGTTAACTTAACTCACACACAGTGCGGCGAAACAGAACACAAGCGTTATTTCACGTCGGTTTTCTGTAAGGCCGTGGTATGAGTCCGGTCGAGCCGGCCCATGTGTGGCTCTCTCACGATCTTACAAAGTTTGTCTCTGTTTATTTGTTCTTCGGCTTTCACGACATTTTTGTCTCTATCTAACCCCCCCCCCCCCCCCTCCAAATATATAGAACATTCCGCAATTTTCAAGGTAGGCAGAAAGGTAGAAATTGGTAGGCAAACTATTAGTGACTAACAAAAAAAGTCCTGCATCATTTGTTTAGAAAATACTTATCATTAATTATCTATCAATTACACTAACAGCAACTCAATCAAGGCTTTGTTACAAGGCATTTAAGCTCATTTTTGAACAACAAACTATCTACGACACTCAAATAACAGACTTATGCCCGAATTCTGAAATACCGACCCAATTTTAAGTAGTACTCAAATATCGCGGCATCTCTATCATTTTACAAAGAATTTGTAGCGTCAGAACTATACTTGAGAGCTACTTAAAATTGACTTTGCTTTTGAGTATCTGGACATGACAGTCATATTTATAAATTTAAATTCTCAAAAGCATTTATTAATATACCTTGAGTTCTTAATTTTTGAACTAATCAATGAATCTATTACTTTTAACGACTGAAAAGCCGGTTTTCATTGGACTATAAACCGACATACGGTGGCCAGCAGGCCAACCTACTAATTACTGTCTCTATTACATTTTCAACTTTATTGCATTGACATAAAGTCGAAAATCCATAACATGACATCATACCTTTCATCCCTGAGGCAAAGGTGCACATTACGGTACTTAACGCCACTGTACAATGTAACACCCACTTTTCACTATTTATGTTATGAGTCCCATGTAATAGGGGGGTGAGCCTAATTACATCGCTATTACATCTTTAACTTTATTGCATTGACATAAAGTCTATAATCCAATTAATAATATTGACAGATCGGCGTAGGTCGATCAGCTGGCCAATGTATATTAAATATTTTTTTTCTGAAATAGAAATCTGAATAGAAATAGACAGAGACGCATGCAGAATGTAACACCCACTTTTGACCAGGTATATTATGAGTCCCATGTAATTATATTTATATTATATCTACTAGGTACTATAATTTTATTTAGAATACTTGTAAAATTTAATTTATAGCAATACTGTATCGTCTATCTAACAATAAATACTAAGGAAGCGAAGCTTTTTGGCTTTATATTTGGAAGGTTTTTGCAAACTTGTGAAGTAAATGTACCAAGTTTAACGCTTGTCTTTCCCGCGGGTGTGATATACCCGACTAAGGGACACAGAGACTGGGGTGCTTACTCTTGAATCAACTCTCAATATCAAAGCAATTTCAATCCAATAAAGTCTCAATAATTATTCAATGTCAAAACTGTACAGCCACAATCATAGCTGTTAAAATAGCATTCAGAGTACGGAATATAAAGCTCAACTCAATACCATTGAGTTCATTCAATATCCACGCAATACGGATACAATGGGCGCTAGTGTTGCTACTCAAGAGTACCAAATTTCACAATACCAATGTCGATCGATCGGAATTGAATTTAAGAGTAAGCCCCCTGATAGTTAGCAATCGGCGCCGCCGATGGACAGACGAAACACTAAGGCGTTACAAGTGCGTTACCGGCCTTTTGGGAATTGGGAATTTGATAATTGTGTATACGGGGATTCGGGAGACTAGGGAGGGGGGTAATTGAGCCTCCGGTAACCTCACTCACACGACGAAACACAACGCAAGCGTTGTTTCACGTCGGTTTTTTGTGAGGCCGTGTATCACTCCGGTCGAGCCGGCCCATTCATGCCAAAGCATGGCTCTCCCACACTTAATAAACACATGTGCACGTTTACATGCGAAATCACACGGATAGAAAATCCCAACGAACAACTATTGGGCAGAAAGCCCGCCAGGCATGATCACCTCGCCTGGTCGGAGGATCCTCCTTTTCCGATCTTAGGGAACTTGACTGTTTCCTACAGCCTCTTTAGATTTAAGTCGTGGATCGTCTATGTCCGTCGCCGTAAGTCTGACCACTTTTTTATGGAATAGGAGACAAACGAGCAGACGGATCACCTGATGGTAAGCCATCAGCGCCGCCCATGGACACCCGCAACACCAGAGGAGTCACAGGTGCGTTGCCGACCTTATTGGTACATTTACTAACACATATTTTGGCAAGATTTTGTGACACGAATCGGTAAGGGAATTCGTTTTTAGATTAAAGAATAATACTAGAAAATATTAGATAGTCATTTTTATATACCCAAATTATTACAACTAAGTATGTATACGGAAAAACGTTTAGAATAGGAAGAACCACTTTCTATTGATTTTTATTTACTATGGAAGTGCATATTTTCTCATAAATTCAATTCGAATTTCGGAAGAATTTATCAGCATCCTATATGACAGTACCGAATATATCAACACCCTATATAATTCAATAATAATGGCTAAAACTCGAAGCGCATAATACAAATGGCAAACATCTTTGAACACAATATCTTAAATTAATAAAATTAGTTAATAAAAGGCAAGTATTTGAAAGCAGATTAGTAAAATAATAATTAAGATACTTTATACAAACTTAATTAAATATAGTTAAACTGTACCAAAACGATTTTGCATTAAAATTAAATGATGGAATATATTTAAGAAAACAGGAAGGAAAAAACAACAACCTGTAGATAAAGCCGGTATATTTACATCAGCCTGTATATTAAAAAAAATATTACTCATGGTAAATCCCAATGAGACCAACGGCCGTTTCCACCAACAAGCCCTAAACTAACTAAAAGTTACTTAGAGTACCGTAGCGTAGCCCCTTTTTTAGGGGGGAGGGGGGGAGCTATCCAATGACTTCTTCCCCCTGGGGTGAGAGGGAGTGTCAAGCCTCCAAACTAACCCGTTACTTGTAATATGTTATCTTGTGGGTTGATAAAACCAAAATATTGTTATCTTTATATATATAATTCTGCTGTACGTGTGTATGTCATTGAACTCCTTCTAAACGGCTTGACCGATTTAAATGATTTTTTTGTGTGGCGCCCTGGATGGTTTAGGTTCACAAATCAGCCCGAGAGATGGCGCTGCAGTCGATGTTTAGATTATTTATCGTAAACGGCTGAACTAATTTGAATGAATTTTTGTTTATACATTCAAGTGGATATGCAGGACGACGTCTGTCGGGTCCGCTAGTATACTTATATACCTTTAATAGCTTAGGGGTTCCTTGTTTAGAGAGGAGGTTGGTCAAAACGGGCTTTGGAGTCTCTTGGCATAGGTCTATTGCCATACACCGAGCATGATACACGACTATGTAAAACTATTTAGAATCTTCGAAAACCTGGAATCCCAAGATCGAATAGAAGGCAAACGAGCAGACTGATGGTAAGCGATCAGCGCCGTAAACAGTGCCTTTAGCGCTTGTCTACAGAGATAGTAGAAAACTAAATGTATGGAGATGACACTGACAAGTGTCAAAATTTACGTCAATCCTTACTAATATTATAAATCGGAAAGTGTGTTTGTTTGTTTGTTTGTTCCACTTTTGCGCCGTAACTACAAAACCGATTGCTTTGAATTTTTGCAGACGTGAATTTAGAAGTCTGGATTAAATAATAGGGTACTTTTTATCCCGGAAAAATTTGATATTCTCGAGGGAAAACGAAATCATAGGTATAGATGGCGCTGTGTGTATTGGTATATGTCATATAGGCTACTTTTTATCCTTTTGTGACGCGCGCGAAGCCGCGGGTTAAAGCTAGTTCCATATAATTTGGTTTTCTATTCTACATGTAGACAAGCGCTAAATGGCATTTGGCTACAGCTGCAGACACCCGCAACACCAGAGGAGTTACGGTTACGTTGCTGAACTTTTAAGAAATAATACGCTCTTAGTGAAGGTAACAAATTATAATTTCAATGCAAAAACACTTTGGCACTACAATAATATAAACACATGCGAATTTTTACAATAAAAACATGCTTTATACATATTTTGGATGCGGGAGCGAATTGGACAACTAGATAAGATAATTAAAAAAAAACTGAGTGATATTTAGCGCTCAGGTAACGTAGGACAGAGGCTTTAGTACTAGTTTGATTTACGCTTAAAGTAATCGTAACGAGTACGCGTTCGGCGCTCTGATTGGTTGCTTCATTGGTGCCGGCCAATCAGAGTGCCGAACACAGAAGGCCTCTGAACTTAACGACGTATTCAGAAACATAATGATTGCTTAACTATTCCTTAGTAATGATTTTATTTAGAAAACAATCCGGATGATGACACGGTATGAAAATTAAAAATCTAATTAGTCCGTAAGTTAGGTAATGAAAAAATAATAGACACGTATTTTTTTTACTTTGTCGTATAATAAAACAATACTTAGATAAAACGAATCAAAGTTTAGTAGTGGGGGCTGAAACGTCATTTCTACGCATAAAATGTACATAGAAGTGACGTCACGCGACATTTCAAATCAATATATCGTCGAAAGTATTCGTTTCTGTAAGAAAATAAAAAATACGTGTCTAATGATTTAAAATAATCTACCAGACGGACAATAAATTAAAAATTAGGCATCTACCCTATTGCTAAGGACTGGCTAACCTATCAATAAATGACTGACGGCGGTAAAAGACAGTTCTCCGAAATCACGGCAACCTATCAATCGCGTAATAGTAAAACATCTCCAAGTATTCAAACTCCCACATCCAAAAGGCAAAAATTTAAACAACAGAATCCGGTGGTCCATCTGTTTTATCCGATAATATGGACTTTCTTACGTTAAGCGTGGACAGCTGACTGACAGGCAAGTCCGAATTTGAGTAACTATTCGACCCTCTTACGGGACCCCACCGACTAAAATGGGTTTCCACATCATCTGAGTCAACGGTATACGTGCTATCACTTCGATCACTTCTCATGGTCGCATATGGGGTCTCTAGAGACGGTAGATCGATCATGACTGCTTCTAAGGCCCTATCCTGTTTTAAACTCTGTTGTGAGATACTTCTTTTCATTGTCGGAGGCTGTTCCTTCTTCAGAAGATGTTCGGACAACGATTGTCTATTCAATTTCTTATCTTTAGGCCTCTCAGATTCTTCTGCAATCTTTCTGTCGTCTCCAAAAGCCATAATCGGTTCTCTACGCCAATCATCGCTCGAGTTAAAGACTGAGAACCCTGATATTTTGTCGGAAACCAGTTTTAAGTTTGAAGTGGAGGCATAGCGGTTGCCTTTAGTGAGTTTCCCTCTCTTTGTCGTGTTATTAGCGCTGGCTGCAGCAGATTTCGTCGTTCTACTTGGGCTGATACTCCTTCTGCGATCCATATTGGGGGTATTCGCTGCGGATAGGAAGTTCAAACTGGTCCTGGATCTCGACAGGGATCCAATAAAGGACGTCCTTTGCTGGTAAGCGCTTAGAACATGTTGTAGAACATTTTTCGGCCATGGAGCGTTTAGATAAACTCCTCGGTCTGGTATGGGTATGCCAAACTTTTTCTCGTGATCATCCAGGTGTTTCTCGAAGGACTTTATGATATTCTGTTTACAATTTGACGTGTTATTAACTTTCTTTTTGGCTATGACGTCACGGGACGATTACAAACGTGTATTGAGATCTAATACAGTTTATATGGTTGTAGACCTCGGTGAGGTGTACAGTTCACGAGACGGTATTAGATCTCTGGACCTTTACCTAACAAATACCTTCTCCATACCACCACCATACATTAGTTTGAAGCTTATATTCATGCTTGTTTACATGGAAATATTATTGTACTACTGTTTTTATATCAGAAGCAGTTTTTATATCTTACAACAGAAAAGGGGTCTCATTATTTATGTAATTCAATTAATTAAACCCTGATTTTCCACAAGTTACATCATAATTGAAGCTACAATTAAATTCTAGACTCACAATTCCGAGAAACTCAGTACTTCTCCGACCCCCGAATTGATCCCCAGACGCTTCGCTCGAAAGTTACGCTTGTAACCACCCAACTAACAACGTCGATAGACGAATTAAAATTGTTCATATCGATATAATATAGTGCACCCCGACTACCTGATGTCTAGATTATTTACAAATCTTATACTATTATATAAAGCGGAAGAGTTTGTTTTTTTGTTTGAACGCGCTAATCTCCGTAACTACAAGTCTGATTTGAATAATTCTTTTTGTGTTGGATAGCGCATTTATCGACGATGGCTATAGGCTATAAAACATCACGCTACAATCAATAGGAACTGAGCGGAGCGTGTGAAACCGCGCGGAAGTAGCTAGTTCGATATAACACAAAATAGAATAATATTTCCACGTAAACCATAATATATTCACATGCACACATTCCACCCAACCAACTGAAGCTATATACAAATACATGCAACACCTACACATGTGTGTGTAGACTGTATTGTTGAAAATTGTTATTTTTTATGGGATAAGCCGGTAAACAAGCAGACGGATCACCTGATGGTAAGAAATCGACGTCGCCCATGGACAACCGAAACACCAAGGGCGTACGTTACCGGCCTTTTGGGTATTGGGAATTTGAGGATTGTGGGAGATTCGGGGGTTGGGGAGAATGGGTAGAGGGGGTAATTGAGCCTCCGATATTGAGAACTATATTAACAAACTTGTTCCCATTCTTGTTCATCACCATCAACAGCTTAAAAATGGTCACTGCTGACCAAAAGCCTCTTCTCGCATGGACAATTTTATTAAATTATTATGTTCTTTATTTTATCTCTTCATTTATCTTGTAAAATTATTATGTTTGTTTAACTCTTTGAGTACCGTCATTAAAGACACAATTAAAGAACAATAGGTTGCGGTCACCGGTGACCGCTTGGTGTTTGACAGTTTATACGAAATTCTCATAATATTTAGCCTACTTGTGATCACCAAAGACTCTAAATAACTTTATACTTAATACGATGATATATCGTATAGAAAATCCTCAAAATTTATTCATACAGAAGAAGTTTCTAAGTCGGAAATAAGGTCGGTATAATGCGGTTAATAGAGAGGGTATTGAACGGTTAATAGGCTTTGAATTTGTATATGTGTTTGAATAGGTGTTTCTTGTATGAAACCTAGCTTTTCATTGACATAGTATTTAACAATACAGTCCAAACACACGCAAAAGACAATCAAAAATAAATTCAATTCTTAATTCAATAAGTGCGAAATATTTAAATTGAAATTGCAATCAAAAATAAGAAATATCATTTAAAAGTTATATGTAATAAAGCTTCTGTATTATATAATTTACATATATATATTTAACACTTATTTATGGAAAAACACATACATCACACACGCACTATAATTGTTCAAAACGGCAACAAAATAACAAGACATTCAAAATAGGGACTCCATACGTAAAATACATCTTTAAATTATCATGTTTTCGGCTTACTCACGTAATTATTTGACAAAAAACTTGACTAGTTTGCTCATGAATATGAACCTCTAGCATAGCTTGAAACTAGTCGAGTTCCTCGTCAAATTATTACGTGAGTAAGCCGAAAAAATAATAATTTATTTAGTATGTCTCATGAAAGTTATAATACAAATATATCTTTAAATAGGATTGAATAAATAACATAAATATGAGACATAAAAATACACTGAGGAAATTTAATTAATTAATGGCGATATCTCTTACTATCATAGTTTTTTTTAAGGGGGGAAAGATCGATTTTTAATTATAATACTAAAACTGAATTTATGAGAGGCAACGAAAATTATTTGATTAACTACTATTTTTATTATACTTTAATAGACTTATTAGTAAAATATAACAACATACATAACATCACGCCTTTTATCCTCAAAGGGGTAGGCAGAGGTGCACATTATACCACTGTACAAATGTAACACCCACTTTTCACTATTTATGTTATGAGTCCCATGTAATAGGGGGTGAGCCTATTGCCATATACCGGGCACAGTTCCAGACTCCGTGCTATTACTGATAATTTTTTAAAAACCCAGTAATACTTTGCCCGACCCGGGAATCGAACCCGAGACCCCTTGCTCGGCAGTCGCAATTGCGACCACTCGGCCAACGAGGCAGTCTATAAAATAGTAAAATATATTATTAAATAATAATTGAAAATGACAAAGCCTTGACATTGATCTTAGGAGGCTGGCGTTAGATGGATTGATCAAGAGCCTGATACAGAAGGCAGTTGTCCTTGAAACGGCACGTATGTTATGGGGTTTCTGGGGTTTCATTATGGGGTTTCTGTCTCTGAGGCCCTAACCACCGGTAGCTTGGACAATTCTCCCGCTATAAGTATTATTATAGTATTAGTATAAGTATTATTTAAAAATGTAACTTTAGAGAATCCTTACTAATATTATAAATCGGAAAGTGAGTTTGTTTGCTTGTTTGTTTGTTCCGCTTTCACGCCTAACTACTAAATCGATTGCTTTGATTTTTTGCAGACGTAAAGTTAGAAGTCCGGATTATATTAGGTTTATAATTAGATTATAATAGGGTACTTTTTATCCATATGTATAGAGGGCGCTGTGTGTATTGGTTTATTATTATGTCACAGGCTACTTTTTATCCTTTTGTGACGCGAGCGAAGTCGCGGGTAAAAGCTAGTTTTAAATAAATATATGGAATTAGTCATGATAGTAAGAGTACGCCATTTTAAACTCAATCTCCACACAAAACATCACCTATAGACGTCTCCATCAATAACAGGATAAGCAGGACTCACCAGTTTCCTGTCCCCGAGGGTGGCGCGCCACTCCTTCAACTCCTGCGAGTATCTCTCCTCGACGGCCTTCATCTTGTTGCTCTCGTGGTTCATCAGAGCCTTGCGCTTCTCATTCTGGTACTGCTCCAGCTCTCGGAGTAACGCCTGGTGGGAAATTGGTGAATGAGTAATCATAATTGAATGCACGGTTGGTGCGGTGGCTGGGCAACCGGCTGCCGTGCAACGTGTCGCGGGTTCGATTCCTGCACGGAACAACACTTTGTGTGATCCATAAATTGTTGTTTCGGGTCTGGGTGTGTGTGTGTGTATGTGAAATTGTATGTCTGTAAACGCACCCACGACACTAGAGAAAATCCTGGTGTGGGGCAATGTTTAAAAAAAAAATTGAATGAATTTTTGAACATAACTTTTTCTTTGTTTCATCAGCTACCTGCCAATAAAAGTCACTTCAAAATCGGTCTAGCCATTCCAGAGATAAGCCAGTACAAACAAACAGACAGAAAGACAAAAATTATAAAAAAAAATGTTATTTTGATATGTGTATCGTTTATGTATTCATATGCATGTAGTAAAAACCTATGGTCATAGCTGGACTACGGAGTTTAACATGAGAAGAGTCTTCTAGGAACGGAGTGGTGTTTGGTCAGTTAGAGTCTAGTGACATAATATAACATAACATCACGCCTTTTATCTCCGAAGGGGTCGGCAGAGGTGCACACTACGGCCCTTAATGCCACTGTACAATGTAACACCCACTTTTCACTATTTATGTCATAAGTCCCATGTAATAGAGAGTGAGCCTATTGCCACATACCGGGCACAATTCCAGACTCCGTGCTACTACTAAGATTGCTGTTAAAACCCAGTAATACTTAGCCCGACCCAGCAGTCACACTTGCGACCACTCGGTCAACGAGGCAGCCCATCAAATATATAAAATAAAAACATACCTCTCCAGCGGCTTTGAGCTCCTCCCTCGCTTTGGCATGTTTGGTCGCTAGGCGTTGCTGTTCAGCGCGGTATCTGCGTTTCTCGTTTTCTTGGAACTAAAAAGAAAACATCAATAATTAATATAATTGTTATTCTCAGTCGTAATAGTGTAATGTAGCCCACTGATTAATATCAGTTATTTTCATGGTATAAGTTCGGATCATATCGGATCAGTTGATGGTAAGCAATCGGCGTCGCCCACCTGGAACACCAGAGGCGTTACAAGTGCGTTACCGGCCTTTTGGGGGTTGTGAATTTGAGGATTGTGGGGGATTCGGGGTTTGGGGGGAAGAGGTTATGTTTTCTTTTCAGTCATATTAAAGGAAAAGGGTTCATTGCGATGTCAACTACCATTCCAAAATATACACAAAACCAATTTTCGATTCAACATAGATATGTGTGAAAGTCAAAGGTTAATTCCGGTGGTGGCGAATAAAAGCCAAGTTCACCTTAACATCAGAGCTCATATCCCCGAAGAGGTAGGCAGATGTGCACATTACGGCACTTAATGCCACTGTACAATGCAACACCCACTTTTCACTATTTATGATATGAGTCCCATGTAATAGGGGGTGAGCCTATTGCCATATACCGGGCACACTTTTAGACTTTGTGCTACTATTGAGTTTTTTTAAAGCCCAGTAATACTCTACCTGAATCCGGCAGTCGTACTAGCGACCACTCGGCCAATGAGGCAGGATAATGCACAAAAAACGGGATTTTACGTCTAAACTGACAATGACAATTTTTAGATCCTTGATATTTTAATCTAGCGACCCGCTCCGGCTTCACACGGGTGCAATATGCATGTATTATACATATAAACCTTTCTTAAGAATCACTCTAACTATTAAAAAAAACGCATCAAAATCCGTTGCGTAGTTTTAAAGATCTAAGCATACATAAGGACAGACAGACAGATAGTGACTTATTGACTTTATTACTGATTATACTATGTAGTGATATTCACCCGCGAAAAATATTAAAACATAGGTAATTTTAATTAGTCGTACCTTCTTCAGCCTCTCCCTCTCGTCCTCATGTGAGGGCGCGTTCATGGCGCTGATCCGCAACGATTCACGGAACATCATCTCCCTCGCCTTCTGCTCCGCTCTGATTCTCTTAGGCAAGGATCTCTTTTCTAACGCCTGAACCTTCGCTAATTCCTCCTCCTTACGAGTATTTTTCCTGTAAAAAACAAGAATTTAATCTTTTATTTCAACTATATCATAAGATTATTAAGACACCACTGACATACGGTGAAGGAAAACGTCGTGAGGTTGACCAGAAGCCTCTTCTCATATTGAGGTTTGAGCATTAATCACCACGCTTGCTAAATGTTAGGAAACCACAAAACAAATGCCCGAATACTGAAACGCTACTCAATTTTAAGTCACGCTTAAGTATAGTTCTGTCTCTACAAATTCTTTGTTAAATGACAGAGACGGCACGATATTTGAGCACGACTTAAAATTGAGTAACGCTTCAGTATTCCGGCATAAGATAGATAACACATTTAACTACGATTTTGCTTTTCACTGAACTATGGGTGGACCGACGACATCGCCAGAGTTGCGGGGAGCCAGTGGATGCAGGTGGCGAGTTGTCGTTCGACGTGGAGGAGTAAGGGGGAGGCCTTTGTCCAGCAGTGGACGTCTTACGGCTGTTGATGATGATGATGAGCATCAAATTAACCCGTTGAAATCCATCCCCTAAATTTGGTCATACAAAAGTAGTCTCTAAACATTGGAAATAAGATCTATAATGTAATGTAATATTGCTGGAGAGCAGTCACCGGTGACCGCTTGGGGATCTATGGCTTAAGATTATCTCAAGGTTATTTTCTTTTTCAATCTCTTGGACTGGATTTAGGTGTTGCATTGTTCTCACACAATCGAACCAATAAAACTATGTAACTAGAGAATTGTATTGTGAACATGATTGAAAAAGAGTAACCTATAGAGTTTCTTGCTCGTTCTTCTCCAAAGGAATCTACACCTTGGAATGAGCAAATAGGTTCACTGGAACAGAGTGCCAAGCACAAATAACTATCGCATTCGTATCGTAACAGTATCGAGCGAGTTAAGCGTTCTGATTGGTTGGTTCACTTGAGCCGGCCAATCAGAGCGCCGTCGCCGTGTGTAGAGATCTACATACCTCTTGATCTGCTCCAGTTCCTTGTCATGTCGGACGAGCATCTGATGTCTCCGCAGCAGGAACTCGTCCTTGAGCTGTCGCTTGGCGAGCTGATGTCGTTCGTGGATTTGTTTCTCTTCCAATTCCCATAGCGCTGTTTCGCGTGTTCGCATTATCTGTTGACAAGTGATTATTTACTTAGGTTTTTTCGTCATTAATCCTTACTAATATTATAAATCGGAAAGTGAGTTTGTTGGTTTGTTCCGCTTTCACGCCGTAACTACTAAACCGATTGCTTTGAATTTTTGCAGATGTATAGTTAGAAGTCCGGATTTAATAATAGGGTACTTTTTATCCCGGAAAAATTTGATATATCCGAGGGAAAACAAGAGTATTGGTATAGATGGCGCTATGTGTATTGGTATATGTCACATAGGCTACTTTTTATCCTTTTGTGACGCGAGCGAAGCCGCGGGTAAAAGCTAGTAATTTATAAAATGAATAAGTAAATCACATGGAGGAGACGAAGATCTCCTTAATGGGCGTTGCTAAGTAAAGGTTTCCCTTCATCATCAGCAACAGCCTATAAGTGCCTACTGCTGATTATTAAGACTTAGATTATTTAGAAACCACTGACAAATGGTGAAGGAAAACGTCGTGAGGAAACCTGGGCTTATAATTTCTAATTATAAATTTGAAATTGCCAACCGGCATTGAGCAAGCGTGGCGAATAATGCTCAAACCTTCGTCGTGTGAGAAGAGGTCTTTGCTCAGCAGTGGGCATTTATCGGCTGTTGATGATTCGCCATCGACCCTCACGACAGCATATACATCCCCACCATATAGATAGTTGGCAGGCGACTACTGTGCACTTCTCTCGTAGCTTTCTGTCTCGCACAGCAAAACTGTGGAATGATCTGTCGTCGGCGGTATTTCCGAACCGATACGACCTTCAAACCTTCAAGAAAACGGCACGTATAGCCGACGTACGTACCTGGTGGCGCTGCTGCAGGTACTGCCTGTCTGCGAGCGCCTGTCGGTCGCGGTGCGCGTCGTGTATGCGGCGCAGCACGGTGTCGGCGGCGTCTGCCAGCGCGGCCACGAAGGCCCGCTCGCGCTCCGCGTGCTCCGCGTCTAGCCGCGCGCGCCGCACGCGGTACGCGTCCTGCGACGTCGCGAGGGACACGACAAACCAATTATTTCATATTTCCATAACAACTATTATGATACATACCGTAAAATGGGGTGAATAAGGATCGAGGGGTGAATCGATACCATGGAGAATTTCCCAATATCTATTCCTTTTGTCTCTATTCACCTCTCGAACCCTATTCGGTGTACTCACGTGAACATACTGAAAAATTATCTACTAGTTTCGAACCACAGAGGAGTTCTCCCTCATGGGGGACGTGCGCTAAACTCGTAGAGTTTTTCTCAATATTTTTACGTGAGTAACTCATCTATCGTTTTAGTTAATTTAGAATGTCTTATGAATGACAATTATTATAAAAACTATTTAGACCTCATTAAAGTGCATATTAGTAATAAGTTTTCTTAAAATCGTATAATTCGTATCCATGAATGTATGCTTGAAATCTATATCTATATATTAAAAAATTAATCCCTTTTTCCCTTGGTCACAGCATCACGCGTGAATGACTGGACCGATTTCACTAATTCTTTTTTTTTGTTGTATTTATTAGTATTAGGAGAAGATTTTTGAGACAAAAAAAATACAGAAAATCCTACGGGAACAGGATAAAATGGGATTGCGCGGACAAAAGCGCGAGCAGAAGCTAGTTATATATAAATTTGTAATAAATTCACAGGTCATTCTTAATGAACGTTTGAAAAGCAGGATTAAAGAAGTCGGCAGACCTTGCGCCTCTCCTTGGCGACGAGCTCGACCTCCTGCTTGAGCAGCCGCAGCTCCTGCTTGAGCGTGTCGCGGAAGTGTCGCAGGTCCCGCTCGTGGTCGGCCCGCAGGCGCTTGCCGGCGTGGCGCAGCTCGGCCTCCAGCGCCGCGTCGGCGCGCTCCGCGGCCGCGCGCTGCGCCCGCCCCAGCGCCTCCAGGTCCGACTCGTGCGCCCTGCCCAGCGCTACCAGTTCCGCTTCGAACCTGGGGAATGAGTGTTGTTTAGATATATGTGTTTTAAATATCAAAAGCATTAAAAATATAAGGTAACGAAATAAAGCATTAAGTCCGCCATCGTATGTTAGACAGAATTTGTATAAAATTTAAATATTTTTGTGAACATAGGCTACAATAATCTTATAAATATAGTTCAGATTATGTTCCGCCGAAAGCCATAGAAAACAGTAATTATACGACTAAATATAAATCATTGACAAACAACTCATAGTAAAAAAAACACAATGTCAACTATAATAAACAAAATTGTCAAAACTTAGAATATGTGGTAGAATGACAAACAAATACACAAATGATAAAAATATTGCACAAATATTATAAGTTGCTAAAACATTGAACTAAACAAACGTAAGATCTTGCACAACCACGATTTAAGTTATGAAATTGAACTATTATTAGCAGTTAATTTGTTTTTTAATACTATTAAAAAAAAACTAATAATTAATTAAAAACATACTAATCAAGTTCCCCACACTTTTCTTTTTTAAAGAGAGAAAATCATGTAATGACTTCTCCTGCCCGGGAGAGGGAGTGTGAGACTCTTACTGACTAAACACCACCCCGTTCCTTCTCCTTGCCCCGGCAACCCGTTAGGCCTTCCGCGGCTACATTCCCCACACTAGATTGTCTCCTGTGTCGCGGGTGCGTTTACAAACATACAAGTTCACATACACACCACACCCAGACCATGAACAACAATCTGTGGATCACACAAAGAATTGTTCCGTGCGGGAATCAAACCCGCTACACCTTTCACTACACAGTTGACCAACCACCGCACCAACGTGTAGTCGACTGTCATTTCCTCATTAAATACATTCATAAGACTATAATATACTATGTAGGTATATACCTACACGTGGATACGATGTCAAAGAGCCATAAGACCACAACGGATGGGGCCCAATAGAGCTGATGCCGATACGGAGTCGCGGAGAACTTAACGGGTTACCGGGGCTCCGGCTCGACGTGCAGGAGTAGGAATGGGGACGCTTTTAGTCAGTAAGAGTCTGACACTCCCTCCCGCCTCACCCAGGTCCCGCCTGGGTGAGGCAGTCATTCGATGATTTTTCTCTGCTCAAAAAAAAGACGTGGTGGATATGATCGTACCTCTTATCCTGTTGTTCCCTAAGCTGTGTCTCTTTGGCGTTGAGGTCCTGGAACTGCTTCTGTTCCTGCTTCTGTAACATCTTGATCTCGCGCAGCTCCTGCTTCCGAAGCGCGTGGTCGTCCCACGTACGACCGCTCTCTTCGTCGCCCCATATCACCTGCAAAGAGAATTTAAAAAAATTGGTTGCCTGTAAAGTCGGTATACGGGTGAAAGTTTTACGTGACAACGACTTTGAGTGGTAAAATGATTTTAATGTGAATATTCATTCGTATAGTAGGAAGAAGGATGTATCTCTCTCACTCTCTGTCTCTCTCGCTCTTAGGCGGGCTAACTGTGCTCGAGTGGAAGGGACGCGTGCCTTTCACTTTTTATGTCTGTTTCTCTCGCTCTTAGGCGGGCTAACCATGCCCGAGTGGAAGGGACGCGTGCCTCTCACTCGCTCTCATTGTGAGCGCATAACGTGAGCGGAGCGTAACGCAGTTTCTTGAAGTGTCACCCGGCAAACCAATTTATAAGACGTTGTCACGTCAAAAGTTTGAAACACATTCTTAATAATCTTTATTAATTTTAAGTGTTTAGTGCCGGAATACTGAAACTTTACTCAATTTTAAGTCGTGCTCAAATATCGTGCCATCTCTGTCATTTTACTAAGAATTTGCAGAGACAGAACTATACTTAAGCGCGTCTTAAAATTGAGTAGCGTTTCAGTATTCCGACATAGGTCAAAGAGTTGATTTTAAGTGTGGGAGAGCCATGCTTGGTCACGAATGGGCCGGCTCGACCGGAGTGATACCACAGCCGAGGAGAAAACCGACGTGAAACAACGCTTACGTTGTATTTCGACGAGTAAGTGAGGTTACCGGTGGCCCAATTACCCCCTATCTCATCAATCACCGAATCCCCAACAATACTCAAATTCCTAATCCCTAAAAGCCTGGTAACGCACTTGTAACTTCACTAGTGTTCCACGTGTCCATGGGCGACGCCGATTGCTTACCATCAGAGGGCCAAGCACGAATAACTATCGTATTTGTAACGTAATAGTATCGAGTGCGTTCGGCGCTCCGATTGGCCGGCTCAAGTGAACCAACCAATCAGAACGCTTAACACGCTCGATTATATTACGATATGAATGCGATAGTTATTCGTGCTTGGCCCTCTGGTGATCCGTCAAATCCGTCAAAGTGTGGGTAGACACAGTGAAAACAACTATTTTTGTGAGCTGAAATTTAATAATATATTTTATATAGTTTTATGTGATATGAGTGCCTGTGTCAGTGTCCCCCCTTTACTTGCTAATAATTATTATCTTATCCCATAACAAAATAAAAATTGTTTGCCTGTAAAGTCGGTATACGGGCGAAAGTTTTACGTGACAACGATGTCTGTCTCTCTCGCTCTTAGGCGGGCTAACCATGCCCGAGTGGAAGGGACGCGTGCCTTTCACTTTTTATGTCTGTCTCTCTCGCTCTTAGGCGGGCTAACGATGCCCGAGTGGAAGGGACGCGTGCCTCTCACTCGCTCTCATTGTGAGCGCATAACGTGAGCGGAGCGTAACGCAGTTTCTTGAAGTGTCACCCGGCAAACCAATTTATAAGACGTTGTCACGTCAAAACAGCTATATAACCACACGACACTGACCTTAGAAGTGGTAGTTGTTACAATAACGCCATCTATCTCGAATTTCCTCGTGCGTTTCCTCGTCTTCTTCTTCAAGTTGGCCATATGGATATCTTCTTTAGACCTCTGTATCCTGTTGACTGGCTGGCCATCTTGTTGCTTTCTTCTGAGGACCACTGGCTCTTCAGTGCCGTTGTCTAGATTTTGGGTGTCAGCGTTTACTCTGTAAAAGAAATTCATGTGTAGAGGATTTTTATATGTTTCTGTTTAGTGAGAAAAAAGGGGCAATCAGCAAGTTATGTCACACGTTGAGGGTTAGGGAGGGGATCGCCGAAGTGTGACATTGTGATAAGGGGGAGGGAGTGAATTTTATTTTATCCCTTAAACTGTCAAACACCAAGCGGTCACCGGTGACCGCGACCTATTGTTCTTTAATTGTGTCTATAAATACGGTACTCGACGAGTTAAGGGGTAGGCAGAGGTACACATTGCGGCACTTAATGCCACTGTACAATGTAACACCCACTTTCCACTATTTATGTTATGAGTCCCAACTCATAACATAAATAGTGATAAGTGGGTGTGTACATGGGTGTAATAGGGGGTGAGCCTATTGCCATATACCGGGCACAATTCCAGACTACTAAGAATGTTTTAAAAGTTATAGTTTCCCCGATTCGGGAATCGACCACTCGGCCAATAAGGCAGTCAAGCTCGAGGTTATGTATGTATGTGTATGTGTGTACCTGGCGCCCCCGTTGAGCTCGGTCCCCAGATGCGCCAGATGCAGCTGGTCGTCGTGGGAGGCGCTGGTGGGCGTGGCGGCGCTCAGCGAGTCTGCGTCGCGGGCCGCGCGGGACCCCGACGACACCGACCCACTGTCCGACTGGGACCTGCTGTGGAAATATACATCTTATTATTACATACTAGCTTCAGCCAGCGGTTTCACGAGAAAAAACTAATCTGTATATTGCCCCACACTAGGATTTTCTCCAGTGTCGTAGGTGCGTTTACAAACATACAATATCACATACAAATTACACCCAGATCCGGAACAACAATCTGTGGATCACACAAAGAGTTGTTCCGTGCGGGAATCGAACCCGCGACACGTTGCGCGGCAGTCAGTTGCCCAGCCACCGCGCGAACCGTGCAGTAATAAATCATATTTAAAGTGATTAATACTTGCGTGTTCATTTATGCCCTAATACATACACACAAACACAAAAAAGTAAGATGTAAATATTTACCTCTCAAAGCTATCTGGACTGAGCCGAGTACTGACTGAGCCGAGAGCGATGTGTGTCGCGGCCGAGTCTCGAACCCGTATCTCTTCGTTGCCCACCGTCACTACTGATACGTGGGATGTGTCCTGTTAAGGATGTAAATATGATAATTTAACATAAACTTCATAAAAATGTGTTAAAATTGTATCTCTAGAAGCAATAGGGTAGTATCCTAAATTTTATTTTAATGTCCGTCTGGCAGATTAATCTAAAACATTAGACAAGTATTTTTACTTTTCTCACAAAATTTAATACTTTCTACAACACATTAATTTGAAATCTCGTGGGACGACTCCTAAGCATAACTCCGTTTTGTCTAAGTATATTTGTTTTTGAGACAAGCCCGCCACAACCTCCCAAAACCGCTGCAACTCCTGTAACCCAGGATCTACAGTAGATATAACCATAAAAACACCGGAAATCTGAAGTCCGGTGCGTCCCAGGGACATGAATTACTGTCTTGGTTCCCGCAACGAAATGAATCAGAAGATATTATAAGAGGAGAAGAAAAAAACGATAGTTTCCACTTCCCTCGGTGAATTACTGCAGGAGACAGAGTGAATTAGGCCTAAAGGCACAAAGAAAAGGGACTGTACAACTTTATCTAAGTGGGTATGTGTAACTTATTACGAGAAATTAAAAAATACGTGTCTAATATTTTTTCATTATCCAACTGACGGACTAATTAGATTTTTAATTTTCCCCGTCTGAACTATGAAAACATTTTTCTAGAGGTATTGTGTTCGCCTTCGTCGTGAACAATATCAAAATGTATAAGCTAAAATGTCATGGCGTCCCGTAAGTTTAAGACGCCCGCTTCTCATGCATGAGGGTGCAGGCTCGAAACCTACCAACGGCAAGTACCAATGTGACTTTTACCGAGTTATATATACTTTCTAAGATTATCTAGACACCACTGACAAACGGCGAAGGAAAACATCTTGAAGAAACTTGGGCTTATAATTTCTAATTATATGTCTGAAATCGGTAACCCGCATTGAGCAAACGTAGTGATTAATGCTCAAACCTTCTTCGTGTGAGAAGAGGCTTCTGGTCAGCAGTGGCCACTTATAGGCTGTTGATAATGATGCTCTCATATAAAAGGTGTAAATAAACTAAATTGTCTTTTATACGACATACATTACCAATTTTTGTTGTCATACCAAAATTTGTTGTTCTCAAGGTTATTTTCTTTTTCCGTCTCCTTGACCAAATATTGGTATTACATTGTTCTCACATTATTGACCTCAACGAAAGAATGTAACCAAAAATTGTATTGTGAACATGATTGAAAAAGAGTAACCTATGGAGTTTCTTGCTCGTTCTTCTCCGAAGGAATCTACACTTTGGAACGAGCAAATAGCTTCACTAGAGGACTGACCTACAGACTGACATTTATTTTTTTCTTATTATTTAATATTTAAATATTTTGTTTTGACGTTCAAAAGTGCCTTACTGGTCTAATTGAAATAAATGATTTTGACTTAGATTTTGACAATTAATAATACACTTCAATCAGAAAATATCTGTCAAGAAATGGAAAAGAAAACCGCTTCCGTTTCTATGCTCGCGATGGCGTTTAATGCTAGCGTAGCGATTAATGCTCAAACCTTTTTCGTGTGAGACGAGTCTTAGGTCAGCAGTGGGCACATATAGGCTTCGAAACTAGTAGAGCTTTTCTCAGTATATTGACGTGAGTAACCCCAATGATATTATAAAGAAGATACGCTACGTTCATACTAAGCGGCGTCCAAAAATTGTTGCGTTCTTATTACAAATGTACTTAAATGTCATTTTCAACTACGTGCGACAGATAATACGGAAAGTATGGTACAGAAAGAGATAGCTATTTACAAATTACGACAATTGTCTGAATTCGTTCGCAACAATTTTTGCGTGCCAGTGCGATATCTACCTCTTTCTATTATTTATAATATCATTGAGTAACCCGCGATTTTAGTTAACTTATAGGATGTTGATAATGATGTAATAAAGTAACATAAAAAAATATCTATTTCACATGCTTACCAGATGCAGTCCGTTGGTGACGCTATCGTCGAAGACTCCCGAGTCGGTGGCGGCCGCAGTGGGACTGAGGATCAGAACCTCACTGCTGTCCAGGCGACGACCTCGAGTTTTTTCTAAACAATATAATAATAGTCAAAATTAGTTTCAAATATTAAAAACTAGCTTTCACACGCGGCTTTCCGCACATATTTCTGTTGACAACTGGAATTCCAGTTACATGTGCGTAACCGGCTTTTTGGGGATTAGAAATTTGAGGATTGTTGGGATTGGGGAAATTGGGGAGAGGGGGGGGGGGTCATTTTCAGCGTGATTGACGGACAAACCCAAACCAAGAAACTTTCACATATATAATATTAGTGTGATACTAAAGGGACAAGGTAATATTACTTGAAGACTTTTTAATGCATTAAATAAATAATTACATTTCGATTTTGTTTTCGAGCACACGGATCAGTGGCCATATCGAGCAGTGGACATTTTGAGTAGTGGCCATATCGAGCAGTGGACATTTTGAGTAGTGGCCATATCGAGCAGTGGACATTTTGAGTAGTGGCCTTATCGAGCAGTGGACATTTTGAGTAGTGGCCATATCGAGCAGTGGAAATTTTGAGCAGTGGCCATTTTAGCAAAGGCCGTTTCGAGCTATGGCCACTTTGAGCATTTGACATTTTGAGCAGTGGCCATTTTAGCAAAGGCCATTTCCAGCTATGGCCATTGACATTTTGCGATCGGTTGTCATTTTACAAATATGTATGACATGAGATAAAACCCCATGGGTACCCCATAACACAAGAGGAGTAACAACGATCACAGTTACTTACCGCTATAGTGCGTACAATCCAAGGAGTCCAGCGACGATGGCGCGAAGCAGTCATCGTCTGATGATGACCCGGCGCCGACTATCACCACCTCGTCAGCTATGGGCGGCGTCGTCGATATTGTCACCGCGTTTGGTGGGAGCTGGGGATAATACTATACATTTATATATATACTATCGTACACCTTGTAGGTATGTTACACATAATATAGTATCACGCTTTTTATCCTCGAAGGGATAAGCAGAGGTGCACATTACGGCACTTAATGCCACTGTACAATGTAACACCCACTATTCACTATTTATGTTATGCGTCCCATGTAACACGAAATGAGCCTATTGCCATAGCCGGGCACAGTTCCAGGGCCCGTGCTACTATTGGGACGTTTTTTAAAAACCTAGTAATAATAACTTTGGCCGACTCGGGAATCGAACCGGAGAACCCTTGCCCGGCAGTCTTGCGATATTATTTCACAAAGATCGAGCTGCGACGCTCTCGTGGAGATTATATCTGTTTTAAGTGTGGGAGAATTAGGTCGACCGGAGAGATACCACCAACGAGCAGAAAACCATAGTGAAACAACCACAGCGTCGTGTAACGTTACCGGAGGCCCAATTCACCCCCCCCCCCCCCACTCTTTCCCCAATCCCTGAATCCCCAACAACCCCTGAATTCCCAATCCCAAAAGGCCGGTAACGCACTTGTAACGCCTATGTTCCAGGTGTACATGGGCGACGCCGATTGCTTACCACCAGGTGGTCCGTCTGCTCGTTTACCGGCTTATTGTATACAAATAAAGTAGAGGAGAAGAAGCAGTGACTGACCGCGGCGGCGGTGCTGAGTACGGGCGGGTGCGTGGTGGTGACGGTGACGAGGCCGGCCGGGCACGCCGCCAGGCTGTTGGGCTCCACCACCACCACGCTGTCCTTCACGGCCACCACCACCGGGCTCACCGGCTGCACCACCACGGTAGGCTTCGGCTGCTTCGACGGCGAATCTTTGGGTTGAGGCGGCTGACGACAAAAATATTTATTTATTTTTTACTTTTTAACGAAAGATTACAGTGAATGGCGGACTTAATGCCTTAAGGCATTCTCTGACAGTCAACCATAGGGAAGTGAAGATAAATGAAGTGGTTGATGCGAAGCTAGAACACAACAAAAAACCTATACAATAAATATAATAATATAAATATAATAATATAAATATAATAATATATATAACAGGGGGTGAGCCTATTGCCATATACCGGGCACATTTCCAGACTTCAAGCTACTAATTGCGTTTTTTTTTGAAAACCCGACCCGGCAACTGAACCCGGGCCCCGTGCTCAGCAGTCGCACTTGCGACCACTCGGTCAACAAAGCAGTAACATAAAAACCTTAATAGAGAAGTGTGAATTTGGAAACCATAAAATATCTTTAAAAAAAACAAAAATATATATAAATAATCGCTTACCGTCACAGGCCTAATCTCCACAGCATTATGTTGCGATCTCCTATCAACATCTCTTCTCTTCTCCTCTTCATCCGTAGAACCGGACCGAGAGAAACTCTTCTCAATCTTCTCTAACCTACTTACTTCTGCACTCACTCTATTTACTTCTACACCAGTCTTCTCTATCGAGTCTCTCTTCTCTAACTCTCTCTTAACCGACTCTCTCTTTTCAATTTCTATCTCTGTTTTGACTTTATTATCTTCTACGTTGTTCTGTTTTGTTTGTATATGTGTTTGTTTGTCTGTTTCTAACGGTTTTGGTTCGTTTTTGGGTTTTGTTTCGGATTTCTTGTTTTCTACTGCTTTTTCTGCGTCTCTGCATACCTGTGTGTGAAGAAGGTTGATTATAAAGGGCATTTAAACTGAAGAGTGAACCGCCCACTCTGGACCAGCCCTCAAAGTGGAGCAAATCGTTCAATGACTTCATATCTAAGGCTCTTGTTAAGGTATGTTAACCCGTTGAAAATCATCCCCTAAATTTGTTCATACAAAAGTAGTCTCTATACATTGGAAATAAGGTCTATAATGTAGTCAGTGGAGAGCGGTCACAGGTGACCGCTTGGGTTAAAGAAATAATATTATTTTAAACTGTCAAACACCGCGCGGACACCGGTGACCGCAACCTATTGTTCTTTAATTGTGTCTATAATGACGGTACTCAAAGGGTTAAGGTCCTATTTATTTATTAGAATACGTAAAAATAATATCAATACTTTACTTTATATTTTTTTACAAATTCCAAGTTCTGATTGACTATGTTTTAAGAATCTTTGGAGACTCAAAACTCTGTTCAACTTGCTAGTCGAACCTGGTGGTTTACTCTTGAATCCAATTCCAATTGATCCACATTGATATTGCGAAATTACATACTCTTGAGTTGCAACACTAGCGCCCATTGCATCCGTATTGCGTGAATATTTAATGAACCAAATGGTATTGAGGTTGGCTTTATATTCCGTACTCTGAATGCTATTGTAACAGCTACGATTGTGGTTGTATAGTTTTGACATTGAATAATTGTTAAGATTTTATTGGATGAAATTGCATTGACATTGAAATTGGTTTCAAAAGTAAGCACCCTGATTCCTTATTTTCCTAATTTCCTAATTTTTTTTTCATGGTCGTTTGGTATATTATGTGAAAACATTAGTCACGCATTTATTCTTTTCTTTTACAAAATTGATTTGAAATATCGTTTGACGACGACTTCTAAACTTAACGCCATTTTATCTAAGTATTGTAACTTCATACGACACAATAAAAAAAAAGCGTCTAATATTTTTTAACTGCTACTGTCAACAACCAATTGAAAATAATTATTAGATTTATTTTCGAACATACCTGGTCTACAATCAGCCTGCCAGTAGTAGCGGTGTCCACGACCTCGTCTCTTGCGGGGGACGACGAGGGAGTCTGAGGGGGAGTGGGGGACGGAGTGGGGCACGGAGAGGGGGATGGTTGTCGAGTCTGTGTGGGAGGTGGGACTGGAGGGGGAGGCGCGGGTTGCTTGCGAGCGGGAGTCGTGGCGGTGGGGGGAGCGGTGGTGGTCGGGGTAGCGGGGGTCGATGAAGGGGGTAAGGGGGCCGGACCTTTCTCTTTTTTTGGTGCCTGTAAGAGAACATTTTATTTAGTAAATAGTGTACTGATTTAGGTTTTGTATTTGAGAATGCCATATTGCGATGGGTGATGAGACTACACAATTTTTTAAGGAGGGGCGATTGACTTCTTCGGAAGGGAGTGTCAGACTTTTACTGACTAAAAACCTCCCCGTTACTACTCCTGCCCTTCGAGCCGGAGCCCCGGCAACCCGTTAAGTATACCGCGGCTCCGTATTGGCATCAGCCCTATTAGTCCCCATCCGTGGTGGTCGTGGCAGGGGTAAGAAAACCCGTTTATTATAGTCATGCTTTATATCTTTCTGTACATTCAACGGTCAGTTTATACTGGTTTCGCATAGCTTGATATGTAGCTATACAAAACTAGTATATCATGAACTCGCCTTGTACGATCTTTCTGCTTATTCAATGGTCAGCTTATACTAGCTTGATGTTCAGCCTGTCTATCTTTATAGGTATTTTAAGTTGTTGAGTCTGATAAATATTGTTTCTATGTATCTTTTAATAACTTACGGGTGGTTTCCTGTCAGCAGGCGGGTGTTCGTCTTCGTGTGGACGCTTGGTGGGCGGGGGCGCGGCCGCGGCGGCGGGGGGCGAGGGCGCGGCGGCGGGGGCGGGGGGAGCGGCCGCGGGGGACGGGGGAGCGGCCGCGGGGGACGGGGGCGCGGCGGGGGATGGTGGCGCGCGCCGCGCCGTGCCCACCGGGGTCGTACCCGCTGTGGGCTCTTCCGACACTGAAAAAAAGATGTTCATTTAGAATATACCTTGAATTTTTTCCATTGCCCATATCCAAAGTTCATCCATTCATCCATGAGATGTCATCGCATCACAAATTCACAAATAATATATCAAGATGCATAATTAAGGTATTTCGTCACCAAAAAATAAGCACAGAATTGTAAGAACGAAAAACGTGACGTCACATTTGTGACTTTTTGTCATTTTTTTTACGGCATAAACCGGTAAACGTTCGGAAATAAACCAGTAAATCCCCAAAGGCCGGTAACGCACTTGTAACGCGTCTGGTGTTCCGGGTGTCCATGGGCGACGCCGATTGCTTACCATCAGGTGATCCGTCTGCCCGTTTACCGGCTTATCAAATAAAAAAAAACATCCTACAAGTTTCATAGTAAATAAATTTGTATACTCACTCTTGACGTCCGGTGTGTCGGCTGAGCGGACGGAGGTAGAGTCATCTTCCTCCATAGGGATATGTGAGCTGCGCGGCTCCTACAGAACATACATCATATTAAAGACATCAATTCAATTAATATTATCTTAGGAATTCCAAGTGTTTTTATCTTCATGTTTACGTATAGCCCATTAAAACACAAATCATGTTAGGAAATTACGACAACCAAAAGTAATGATTTGTATACATCGATACATACGTAGATGATGCATATGATTTCTGTATTTTTATAATAACCATCGTGAGACGTAGTAAATTAACTAAAAATCGCGGGTTACTCACGTGAATATACTGAGAAAAGCTCTACTAGTTTTGAACCACAGAGGGGTTCTTCCTCATGAGCAGCGTGCGCGGTCGCGGTATAGTATTAGTTAGCTTTTTAGTTATATATCATATTATAATTTTATAGAAGAACGCTGAACAAATTTTTTTTGCCATCAACTACCAAACTACCAATTATCACACTGTCACATACAATATTAATGATTAATTATTATATTTTTCAGTTGAGTCGAGTGGCTACTGAATAGCAGCGACAATCGCCGCGTCGCGGGTCGCGGATTGCTGCTCATAAATATGAGCTTCTAGCATGGCTTGCAACTAGTCGAGTTCCTCGTCAAATAATAACGTGAGTAATGCGAAAAATATACTAATTAATTTAGTATGTCTCACGAAAGTTATAATATAAAAATATTGTTTATTTTTTTCATTATATTATTATTATTATATTTAAATAAAAATACGTGTTTTAGTGTATTAGTAAATATACCTTCGACGCAGGCGGACGATCTAGCGGCTGGGCGTCCGATTCGATTGCAATGTAAACCATCCACACGACACATTAACGTATTGTACATAGTAATATATAGTACATAATATAAATAATACATTACATAAGTCACTGCTGCCTCGAGTGCCTTGGTGCTTTGGTCTCGGAATAGATTCCCCGAGTAAGGCGAAGTATTATTGGTTTTTTTTATCTAAATTTGGTATACAGGCAGGGTATGAGCTGACTTAGATGATAGGATATTTTTTATACCAATTAAATGCTGTCATGGGATAAAACAGCAATCATATTCTACGCGGGCAGCAGCTAGTAGTTTACAAGGTGTAATTTTGAAACCGTGACATTTCTCGGGGGCATGTCACAGAAGTCATAAAGGTTCAATGTAAGAGAAAGTTTCGGACCAATAGTTAAAAATACGGCTATAATAAATCGTTCAAGTTCGACAGTATTTCAGAATAAGCGACAGCAATGTTTCTTATTGGAGTTTTATGGAATTAGGAATAATATCAATTACGTGTTTGAGTTTGTGTGGGTTAAGCCGCGTTATAAAGCTAGTTACAAGACGGCGGCGTATAGTTTGCACTTACGGATTTCCGTAATTTATAGTAAAATAAAATAATATTTACCAACAAATTTTACCTAGTTACGTCCTACAAAATGACGCGGCTTTAAAACAACACCTTGTATAAGTTAAATAAAAATAAATACAATAACATTATATACTAACCAATTCTCTGGTACTGTTCCTTCGTTCGCTTGCCTCTCCTCGATTTCGACTATACATACATACATTTAGTACATAGACATATATATAGACCGAATCGACAAGAGACAAACGTGTTAGTAAGCGTGCAATCATAAGCAAAATTACGTGATGTTAATTATAGTTGTTAAATTTATTATAATAAAATAAAGAAAATATTTTAGGGAACAGAGAGTATAGTTCCCTAAGATCGGAAAAGGAGGATCCTCCGACCAGGCGAGGTGATCGTGCCTGGCGGGCTTTCTGCCCGACAGTTGTTCGTTGGGATTTTCTATCCGTGTTTATTCGTTTGTAAACTTTGCATGTGCGATGTAGGATTCTTGTGACGTCATCCGTTGACATGTGGAATGCGTCACCACAATATGTTAATGTTTAGTATGAAAACAACATTTCTTATGTTATAATATAATAAGTATTGATAGTAGTTTAATTAGATTATATTTTGCTCCATATGTTGCCGTGCCCTAGCCGGGTTTCATGTTGAAACTGTGTACCTCATGTAACACCAATTGTACACATGATATGCAATAAAAGAATTTGAATTTGAAATTTGTCATTTAAAGCCAACGATACATTAGGGAACAAATGTACTGCGACACGTGTCACCAGCAACGTTGTGTGAAGTATCGCGATGTTGCCAGACTTTGGTCGACATGTCTGACAACATCAAAGGCGCGGGGAACTTAACCGGTTACCAGGGCTCCGGCTGGAAGTACAGGAGTAGGAACGGGGTGGTATTTAGTCAGTAAGAGTCTGACACTCCCTCCCGCCTCACTCGAGTCATTCCACGATTGTCCCCGCTCAAAAAAAAAATATATAGAAATTACCTCTGAATCATCATCGAGCACCTCCTCCTCGACGACCTCAGCTCTGTACTCCAAGAGTAGGTCCCTCAGAGGCTTCGCATCCAGCTTCCCGTTGACAAACTCATGTTTCAACAATTCTACGGCTGTCGGCCTCTTTTCTGGGTCCTGTGGGGTGAAGATATAGGTATAGTTAGTTGATGGTAGCGAGGTTCACCGTCCAATGATACATTTCAGTAATTTCTGTTCAAAGATGTCACTAGGCTATCGAAAAACTGATTTATTTCATTTACGAGAAATCATTAACACATTAGGAGTTTATTTCGTATTATAAACATTACACACAGACCTAGAAAAACAAATTTTGGATCTGATAACTCCTTAATTTTATTTTAATCTTATATTATAATTTTAGTCTGGTAGATTAATTTAAAACATTAGACACGTATGTGACAGTCGCCCACTCCTAAACTTAACTCCATTTTATCTATGTATTGTAACTTTATACAAAATAAAAAATATGTATCTAATATTTTTGCATTATCTAACTGACGGACTATGTGGCAACATAACATAACGCTTTTTTTACCCCGAAGGGGTAGGCAGAGGTGCACATTACGGTACTTAATGCCACTGTACAATGTAACACCCCCTTTTCACAATTTATGTTATGAGTCCCATGTAATACCCGGTGAGCCTATTCCCATATCCAGCAAATTTCCAGACTCCGTGCTACTACTGAGATATTTTGTAAAATCCCAGTAATACTTAGCCCGACCCGGGAATCGAACCCGAGACACCCGACATTCGCGCTTGCGACCACTCGGCCAACGAGTTGTCCTACCAACCCTTTGAGTACCGTCATTATAGACACAATTAAAGAACAATAGGTTGCGGTCACCGGTGTCCGCGTGGTGTTTGACAGTTTAAAATAATATTATTTCTTTAACCCAAGCGGTCACCGGTGACCGCTCTCCACTAACAACATAATAGACCTTATTTCCAATGTATAGAGACTACTTTTGTATGAACAAATTTAGAAGATGATTTTCAACGGGTTAACATACCTTAACAAGAGCCTTAGATATGAAGTCATTGAACGATTTGCTCCACTTGGAGGGCTGGTCCAGAGTGGGCGGTTCACTCTTCTGGATCTTCAGCAGCACTCTCATGGGCGTCATCTCATGGTTCGGCGGCTCCATTTGGGCGAACTCTATTAAAGTGATACCTAATGACCAGATGTCCACCTGGAAGTGAGAATGGGGTTCGGTTTAAAAAAAAACATGTTATGAGATTTTTTTTTAAGGGGGGAAAATCATCGAATTACTGCTCCCGCCTAGGCGAGGCGGGAGGGAGTGTCAGACTCTTACTGACTAAAAACCACCCCGTTCCTTCTCCTGCACGTCGAGCCGGAGCCCCGGTTACCCGTTAGTTTCTCCGCGACATATTATGAGATTAGACTGCTGAACTATATAGGGTGTAAACAGAACGGTCTCGAAATGCTGACAAAAAGACATTGTTTTTACAATTGGGTATTTTCCTTAATCAAAAATAAATAATTTCGACTGTTCAATACGATAAAATATTTAAAAAATAATAACACTTTCATTAATTGATTTTATGACCAACTTAATTTAGTATATTTTCAGTATTTTTTTAAGAAATAAGTATGCTGTTTGACGTTGAAAAACCGTGACGTCACAATACATAATCTCGTACAAAATTCATAGAAAACTCTCGTTTTTGACAGTTCGAAAAAAGTATTGAATTTGACTAGTCGGCAAGTACTCAATTGTAGTCATTTTTATATTCGTGTAATTATGTATGTATGTATGTATATGCCTAGCGGGCTCATACACTTTTGAAAAGCCTTATAGTATTCACAAGTTAAAAAAAAACAACAAAATTACCTTAAAATCATAAGGATGATCTCTGAAAGTCTCGCACAACACGACTTCAGGCGCCATCCAATATGGCGTCCCTATGAACGTGTCGTGTTTCTGTAGCGTCGACTTATTCTTCGCTGAAACGCCGAAATCCGCTGAAAAATGAAACAAACACATATTGTTATTATAACACACTTGTTAGACAAATTAATTTAGCACATTTTAAGTGTGGGAGAGCTATGCTTCGGCACAAATGGGCCGAGTCGAGGAGTAATACCACGGCCGAGCAGAAAACCGACTGGAAACAACGCTTGCGTTTTGCGAGTGAGGTTACCGGAGGACCAATTACCCTCCGCCACCGTTCCCTTATCTCCCCAATCCCTAAATCTTCGACAATCCTCAAAAACCTAATCCCCAAAAGTTAGGTAACGCACTTGTAACGCCTCTGGTGTTCCAGGCGTCCAGGGCGGCGCCGATTGCTTACAATCAGGTGATGCGTCTGCTCGTTTACAACCGGCTTATTAATAAAACGAATAAATTGCAGGTTGAGAATAAACAATTTATTTAATACTTCTATTATCTATGTAAACTAGTACACACATTTGACACTAGAGGGAGCTAGTATGATGATAGTAATATTATTTTGATACAACTGAAATGCATATTTTAACAGCACCACTTATCAAAATAATCTAATAACCATTTTAGTCTAATAACTTTTACATAAATAACAGTAACATAACAATATAACTAACATTTTAGACTTTTTCAAGTCCCATTAATTTTACAAAATAATTATGTTTTGCACCACTTAAACTTTTTGTTAGTATATCCGCTGGCATCTCAGATGTTGACAGATAAACTATTTTTACAATCTTATTAGAAACTGCTTCTCTTATGAAATGGTATCTTACATCTATATGCTTGGTACGTTTGTGATATAAAGGATTTTCTGTCAACTTCTGGGCTCCTTGGTTATCATTGTAAATTATTACAGTATAGTTACAACCAACAATATCTGACAAAATACTTTTTAAATATATTGCCTCTTTACACGCTTCTGCTACAGCCATATATTCGGCTTCTGTACTTGATAATGCAACTGTTTGTTGCTTCCTGCATTCATAGGACACTACACAACCTGACAATTTGAAACAAAATCCTGTGTATGACTTTCTATCGATAGTACTTGCAGCCCAATCAGCATCTACAAAACCTTCTAAGTTACAAGTATCTTTAGTGAATTTTAAACCATAAGATTTAGTTTTCTGTAAGTATTTTAAGATTCTTTTGGCATGATGCCAATGAATTGAATTAAAGCAATTATTAAATTGGCTTAAATAACTCACACTATATGATATGTCTGGACGTGTTAATACTGACAAATACATGAGGTTCCCTATAAGTTGTTGATAGGGAAACTGCTTGTCAACACATTCTGCCTTATCTAACTTTAAATTACATTCCATAGGAGTATCTTTTGGATTACAATCATTCATATGAAATTTCTTAAGAATTTGTTTTACAAATTGTTCCTGATCAATGGAAATACAATTGTTATCATATATCTTAACGCGCATTCCTAAACATCGTTTAATCTGACCTAAGTCTTTAATTTTAAATTTTAACATAAGTTTTTCCTTCAAGTTATCAGTCATAGCCTTACTATTGAGAAAATAAAAAAATCATCCACAAATATTGCTATGATAATCTGTTCATTGTTACACTTCTTACTATACAAACATGGTTCTGAAATTGACTTTATATAATTTAATTCTATTAAAAAATCATTAATTCTAGAATTCCATGCCCTAGCAGACTGTTTCAGTCCATAAACAGCTCTTTTAAGCTTAAGTACACAATTGTTAGGACAATTAAGATTAGGAGGAGCTTGCATATACACAATTTCAGTGAGAAAACCATTTAAAAAAGCTGTAACAACATCAAGGTGAGTAATTTTAAAGTTTAATTTTACACTTAATGCAAACAGAAGTCTAAGTGTAGAGTATCTGAGAACTGGAGAATAAGTCTCATTAAAATCTAGTCCATGCTGCTGAGTATAACCTTTGGCTACTAGTCTAGCTCTATACCTTACACTATTATTACCTTCTAGCTTTTTTCTGAATACCCACTTGCATTGTACTATTCTGTCTGCTTCCTCACGGCTCACAATATCCCAAGCCTGGTTGTCCTCAAATGCCTGAAGCTCATCAGACATTGCCTGCTGCCACTGGTCTTTATCTGGGCCGTTAGTAGCTTCATTGTAACTCACATCTTCTGCCCAAGACTCTGGTTCATCTGAAATACAAAGGTTAGTAAAACCATACCTTTCAGGGGGTTTCCTGATGCGTTTTTCAACCAATTGAGGCCTTTCATTGTCAGATAAATCTTCAGTTATTGACTGATAAGACTCTTCTTCAGATGAAGACAAACTTTTTCCTGAATCATATACATAAGTAGAGTCATCCTGATTTGTTAATGTTGTTTCACTTGCTGTCATAGAATTTTCTGTCTGCACTGATGGCTTACTCTCATTTATTTCTATTTGAGTAGTATCTTTTTCCATTATTATAACATCTCTGCTAGTACATATTTTCCTGGTTTCTGGATTGTACAGTCTGTAACCTTTAACGTTATCAGCGTATCCCACCAATATATACTTTACTGCTTTCTTGTCCCACTTCAATCTTTTAGTCTTAGGAACATGCATCATTACCGGGCTCCCAAATATTCTGACATGACTGACATCAGGCTTTTTTCCTGTCCATATTTCAATCGGTGTCTTTTGGTCCAAACCTGAAGCCGGCGACCTGTTTTTCAAGTATACTGCCGTATTTACAGCTTCTGCCCAAAAATGTTTTTCTAGTTTGGCCTCGAACAACAAACATCTTGCACGTTCAACAATTGTCCTGTTAAAGCGCTCACTGAGACCATTCTGCTCTGGAGTATACGGGTTGGTCTTTTGATGGATAATCCCACATTCCTTGAGATAACTTTCCATTTTATCTGAGCAGAACTCCCCTCCATTGTCGGTTCTCAATACCTTGATATTTGTTCCTTTTTGATTCTCAATCAATTTTTGAAACTCCTTGAAACACTGTAGGGTCTGATTCTTCTCCTTTAAAAAGTATACAAATGCCATCCTACTAGCATCGTCAACAAACAATAGAAAGTATCGAGCCTGTCCAATAGATCGAACCTCCATAGGTCCACACAGATCTGAATGAACTACATCTAGAATGTTGGCACTTCTATGATAGCTAAGTTGAAATGGTAAACGGGTCTGTTTACCCTCGCAGCATACTTGACAATTTGCTTTCTGAAGATCAGCCTTTGTATCAAATGACATACCTTCTACAGCACCGTTTCTCATTCTTTGCAAATCATTACTGTTAAGGTGTCCCAATCTTCTATGCCACCGTTCTGCGTCAGTAGTTTGAACTGCAGCTGCCAACACTTTCTCTGACTTTAGAGTATTCAACTTATACACACCATTCTGTAAATTCGCTATACCTATAAGTTCATTCTGTTGATTGTGTATAAAACAAACATCACTTTTAAAGGTAACTTTGTTTCCTTTGGCGATCAACTGGCTTACAGATAGTAAGTTAGTAGTTAGGTTTGGTATGTATAAGATATTGTTTACTTTGATGTCAAACTGAGAATTATTTACTAGTGTAGTAATCTGTGTATCACCGGCACACAAAACTGGCACAGTCTGATTATTCGCAACCACTATTTTCTTTGTATCATGTACTTTTCTCACTTGCATTAAGTTTTCTTTGCTTGATGTCATATGAGCACTCGCCCCTGAATCGATATACCAGTCTTCTTTGTTAAATTCACTATTGAAAAATGCAGCACTGAATGCGTTCACTTGTTTTTCTTTCAGTTCAGGACACTGGTTTTTAAAGTGGCCAGTTTTCTTGCACTTGTAGCATTTAATAACCTTTTTGACATTTGACGTACTACTTGACGTTTGTTTCCCGCCTTTTGTGTTATAGTTACCCGCCGTTTTTTGTTTCGACCACAATGCTACTTTCGAATCATGGTCATCAATTTCAGGACTCATATCAAGCAATTTAGTTTTGATGACATCAGAATTTATAGCTATGCCAGAATGCTCAATTGCCATTATCATTGGAGCAAACTTTTCTGGCAGCCCCGCTAACAGCAATGATCCTATCCATTCTTCATTAATCTCAAATCCAGTACCTTTTAGTCTTTGTGCAGTTTCTACTATTTGACTCACGTAACTTGTCATGCTTTCACAATTATCAAGTCGAATGGATATCAATGTTCGAAGTAAACCGATTTTCCTTGTGAATCCGCTGTCGTCAAATAATTTCTGTAGTTTTTGCCATAGGTTTTTGACGTTGGTTTCATTTTTGATATGCACATATAATGTAGGATCAATGGTCATAATGAGTTTTGCTTTAGCTTTTCTGTCTTCTGCATCACTTAAATCGGCCGGAATGGCGTCGATGTCAAGGCCTTCCAAGATGAGAAAATTTCTTGCCGCAAACGCCCAGTCGTCGTAGTTCTCCCGTCCTCTTAATTTCGGAACGCTCACTAAGTAACTTCCTAACGACATGATGACTAATTTGCTGTATTTAGATACGAATAGACTACTTTTTATTACAAAAAATGTTGCACTGGGCCCATAACCTAATAAAACGAATAAATTGCAGGTTGAGAATAAACAATTTATTTAATACTTCTATTATCTATGTAAACTAGTACACACATTTGACACTAGAGGGAGCTAGTATGATGATAGTAATATTATTTTGATACAACTGAAATGCATATTTTAACACTTATCCCATAAAAATAAACTTGAACTTTTTCACTTGATTGATAAACTTAAAAAAAGGCAATAAAACTTTGCTCGACACGAGAAAAGACCTTGGAAAGTTATTCAGAGTCATCATATAAAATGAAATGGATGAACTTTCCAAATTGTATCCAACATTTCGTAAATATCACGCGTTTAAATCCCCGAGGAGGTAGGTTAAGGTGCACATACTAAATGTAATATACATGAACGCACATACTAAATGTAATTTACATGAACAATCTATACAGATATAAAATTGGAGTGACTGTTTGTAATATTGAAATAACCGCTTCTAACTACATGCATATAAATATACATACGATACACATACCAAAATAACACTTTTTACAATTTTTGTTAGTCTGTTTGTTTGTTTGTTTGTATCGACTTATCTCTTTAATGGCTGGACAGATTTTGACGGGACTTTGATTGGCAGGTAACTGATGCACTAAGAAGTAATATAAGCTACGTTTATTTCAGAAAAACGCAGACGAAGTTGCGAGTACAGCTAGTTATGTCATAAGGCGAGATAGTGGTCAAACAACGGCCCAATACATATATAAAAAAAGTTAGACAACAGAATACAAGACTACAATATTAGAAAACATAGTATAAAAATACAAGTAATAACATAATTAAACACGTACGTTACAAATATCTACAAATAACACTGTTTTCGAGTTCATTCCAAACATACTACGCATTTTCTTTTTTTTACTGAACCGACCAATGGTTATAGAATATGCGGCTTCGTTAAAAACTATATACATATGTATGTTATTTGGGTAGTATAATAAAAGCTACTGTCTATATACTGAGTCCATCATTATTGTTTTACCTGCATGTTTAAAAGCTGTGCCGACTATACATAGGTAAAAGAAGGAAGATAGAAGGCCATCGCACATCTAACAAGCACGGCTTCGGCGCGGCCCCAAACCAGCAATTAAGTTGTCATTTCAATATGAACTTTAAATCGGTATGTCGTATGATATATTTCATAACGTCGATACATAAAGTCGACGACGGGTGGTTAGCGTGCGGTCCTCTCGTGTTGCATACTGCACACCGCTAGCGACCCGCCAGCGAAACGACAGCGCGCCGACAGCGAACCGACAACGCGCCGACAGCGAGACGACGTCGAGCCGCCCGCCAGTAGCGAGCGAAACAACGTCGCATCGTAGGTAGGTTATTATTAACTATACTCATGGTGACAAAAATCTTTCACCACGCGGGCGACACGCCGTAAGCGCGCTGGCGGCTATCGGTAGACAAATACGAAACAACGCCGTGCTGGAGCCGTACTTCTTAGGCGTACTGATCTTACGACACATACATACACAAATACATACCAAAATCCACAGTCGGACGACAGGCGATGTCGTACGACGCTCGCGACCAATCATACACAGAGATTTGAAGCTACGAATACTTCAGGTCTCTATGTACGACTGGACGAGAGGTCAGATCGGAGGTTAGTTTTGTGAGTCCCATGCTAGATATCTATATACAGCTTGTTAGTCTAGGTTAGTATACAACATGTAACTTAAATAACGGACATCCTGAAAATAGTTTGTTCGGAATCGTTAAATGAATCGATTTATATAATTTTTAGTATAGGTAATTTTTTATCCCAAAAATAATTAAAACTACGGAAATTATTGTCATATTAACCGTGTATTGTTAAAATAAATCGAAATGGACGGTAAGTCAAAGCAATAAGGCTTTTAAAATCGCAGTTTTATTTGTATTCATACAAATTCTATCATTCAATACAAAATAAAGAAAAATAAACCTTATGACAAGACCAGTAAGGACGCATATACATGATAAATTAAAAATTTAGTGTATGTATTATGATTATAACATAATATTCTAATTGTGGTGTTTGAGGCTGTGCGTTAATTACGTTACATGTTGTATAGATATAATGGTCCAACTAGCTTTTATCCGTGTTGCTCGCGTAGTCCCATGGGAGCTTTTAATCGGGATAAAAAGTCATACTACCTAAGTCAGCCCATACCCTGCCTGTATACCAAATGTCATCAAAATCCGTTCAGTAGTTTCAGCGTGATTGACGGACAAACGTCCAAACAGAGAAAATTTCACATTTATAATAATAGTTTTGAGCTAGCAACTATTCTTGAGAGCAACTTAAAATTGAATGACGTTTAAGTATCATACAAACACACAAACTTTCGCAGATACAGCGAAACTTGGTTAAGTAGGACCTGGATAACTGAGAAACCTCCATAACTGGAACTCATGAGGTCCCAACACTTTGGCACTGAATTACCTCTGTTAGTGGGACGAGGTAAACCTCTACATCTGGGATTTGTTCTTTCGATTTATCATCACAGTTACCTCTATAACTGAGACAGCGAGTAAATTTTATATGCATAAACCTCTGTAACTGAGATAACATTGTTTACTCATTCTTATTCTACCCACAAATTTCACACGTAATTCCAAGTTCACCTTTATTAATGGAACCCTCTGTAAATGAGACAGATATTTATTTATACCTGTATATCTGAGACACTGGGTAAGTGGAATACCTCTATAAGTGAAACGACATTGCAGGTGCCTTGATGTCTCACTTAACCAGGTTTCACTGTACAATATTAATAAGATACTCACCCAACTTGACACCACCGGTCATGGTAGCCAATACGTTGCCAGCCTTCAGATCCCTATGTATAACTCTTTTTGAATGCAGGAACTGTAGACCTTTGCACATCTCCCTGCAGACGTACGCTATTTGGATCTCGTTCAGACCCTTCTCTAGTTCCGCCATCACTGAATCGAGGGCGCCACCGTCGCAGTATTCTAGTAGCATCTGGAAGATATGTGAAATTGTATTTAGAATAAAATAATATTATACAAGTCTTTTTTTAACGGGGTAAAATCATCGAATTACTGCTCCCGACTGGGTGAGGCAGGAAGAAGTGTCAGACTCTTACTGACTAAAAACCACCCCGTTCCTACTCCTGCATTTCGAGCCGGAACCCGGTAACCCGTTAGGTTCTCCGCGACTCCGAATCGGCATCAGCCCTGTTGGGCCTCATCCGTGGTCTGATGGCTCTTTAAGGCGCGCGCGGAATGCGACGCGCCGTACGCTCGCGTCATTTATTGTCTAACTTCTTGTTTTGGCACACATGACATGTGTGGAAGTCGGTTGATATGGAAGAAGACATTGGACTGAGCCCAGGTAAATTGGGATAAGACCGCCAATTGTACTCCAACTACTGTTACATTGTAAACTACATTTTTTCTGTGTGTGTGTAATAAAATATTTGTTTTGTTTTTTTTTTTTTTAAAACGTTGCCCCACACTAGGATTTTCTCCTGTGTCGTGGGTGCGTTTACAAACATACAAGTTCACATACACAATGACACCCAGACCCGAAACAACAATTTGTGGATCACACAAAGTGTTGTCCCGTGCGGGAATCGAACCCGCGACACGTTGCACGGCAGCCGGTTACCCAGCCAACGCACCAACCGTGCAATCAAAGTAATATAAAATAAGTAAGTGCAGCAAAAGAAATTAGGACAAAACATAACATCACGCCTTTTAGCTCCAAAGGGGTAGGCAGAGGTGCACATTACGCCATACAATGCAACACCCACTTTTCACTATTTCATATTATAAGCCCCATGTAATAGGATGTGAGCCTATTGCCATATACCGGGTAGAGTTGTAGGCTCTGTGCTACTACCGAGCAATACTTACCCAGATGGGCCGGGTAAAAGTATAATGCAAGCAAAACTCACCCATAACTTATTATCAATAAAGTACGCTTCATGTAACTCTACAACGTTAGGATGCCGGCATTCGGATAGGATGTCTATCTCCACTGTAAAGTCTGCCAGGTCATCCTCGTTGTCAAGGACACACATCTTCGCGGCCGCCAGCTGACCCGTCGCCTTGTGTTGGGCTTTATATACCTGAAATTGTTATAAAAAATAATTAACGACAATTTTCGAGAGTGCTGGAGTGGTTTCGAGCCACACCGGGGTCCATAATTAATAGCTTGCGTATTTAACGATGTATGTAGCACAGCTAACTGTAGTTGGTTGTGCGAATTACATTTTGAGTCTTTCGGTTTTCTCTGTCCCCCTTTTCCAATTCTCAAATCAGAGGATTGGGGCATGGGGGGCATCGGGTAACCTCCACGCGGCTATACACAACGCCTTGGGGTTGTTTCACGCCGGTGTACTGTAAGGCCTAGTTATCACGGCGTTCGAGCTGGCCCATTCGTGCCGAAGCATGGCTTTTCCACATAAAAATTCCTCGTTTTTGATGGAGAAACCTATCGAATGACGTCCCTCGCATTGAGTGATGCGAGAGAGATACCCTTACTGACTAAAAGCCACCCTGTTCCTACTCCTGCTTCGATGCGGAGCCCCGGAAACCCGCTAGGTCGTCCGCAGCCCCGGATCGGACATCAGTCCTACTGGGCTCCATAGTCTGGTGGCTCTTTGAGGCACACTTATAATCCTTAAAAGCTTTTTACCTTGCCAAATGCTCCATCTCCAAGCTCTCCGACCATATCCCAGTTCTCCGAGGGGTCGCTGTTGTCGCGGATGTTGTTAAACACCTTCTTTTTCTTCGCATCATTGCCGCTGCCTAGGTGCAGCACCTGGAACCGAGGTTTGGAATTAGATGGGTTATCAACAAACGAGATTATTTTTGAAATCGTTTCACTCAGCTGGGTATTAACTGTTTTTTTTTTTTTGTTATAACAAAGGACATAAGGACTTATAATTCTTCTACTATTACTTGACGGGTAAGCACAGATGTCCTGGTAGTGCATTTAGTGTTTGCTAAGCTTGATTTTAATAAATAACAATAACAATCAATACAGATACAGGATGACCAAAAAGGTTTGAGATGACACGACATGCAATGAGGGCTTCTGTTGTATCAACAATACATTTTAGACTTATCTATAGTACATACCTTCTTAAGATTATTAAAGAACGACATATTGATTGGTTGCGCGTCGCGTAAGCGCGCGCCGGCGCCTCATCCGTCCTTACACATCGCGTCAGACCTCCACTTGTACTCTTTGCATATCTGTGGACAATAAAAATGGATATGTTAAACATTGGCATCTTTTTGTGTATGTGTTTATTACCTAATAACGTCAAAACTGCAGTTAATCCGATCAATCGATACCCGCGGAAAGAGTATCTTCGCTTTTTATGTGAGTGAGGTTACCGGAGGCCTCATTACCTCCCCCCGCTTCCCCAGTCTCCCCAACAATCGTCAAATTCCCAATTCCCAAAAGGCCGGTAAGGGTAACTTTTAACGCCTCTGGTGTTTCAGGTGTCCACGGGCGACGCCGATTGCTAAACATTAGGTGATCCGTCTGCTCCTTTTCCGGCATTATACCATAAAAAAGGGTTTTTTTTTTAAGGGGGGAAATTCATCGAATGTCTGCTCCCGCCTGGGTGAGGCGGGAGGGAGACTAAAAACCACCCCGTTCCTTCTCCTGCACGTCGAGCCGGAGCCCCGGTTACCCGTTAGGTTCTCCGCGACATCATAAAAAAGGGTTGACGGGTCAGCAATGCACATATGGCAGGGAATTTCAAACTTTATGTTATCTATATCTAAGCCACGAGCTAAGCAATGTTAATTATATTACCAAGACACGTACTGTAGGCAATCTCAGAGTAAAACGTAAACACCCAATGTTTGAGAACAAATACATTTTTCCGATACCTATTTCATTTTCCGCGTTCACATATATTTATTCATTCATTATGTAGTCGCTTACTCATTTATACATATTGTACATACTTTAGTTTTGTACTTGATAATATCTGTAGTACTCAATTTTCATCTTATACTTACTGACTTATCCTTACTAATATTATAGTTTGTTTATTTGTTTCGCTTTCACGCCGTAACTACTAAACCGATTGCTTTGAATTTTTACAGACGTAAAGTTAGAAGTCCGGATTAAATAGGGTACTTTTTATTATGGAAAATATTCTTGAGGGAAAACAAAAGTATTGGTATAGATGGCGCTGTGTGTATTGGTATATGTCAAATAGGCTACTTTTATCCTTTTGTGACACAAGCGAAGCCGCGGGTAAAAGTTAGTACTAAATAAATTATTATGTTTTCGGGTTGCTCACGTAATTATCCTCTAGCATGGCTTGAAACTAGTCGAGTTCCTCGTCAAATAATTACGTGAGCAAGCCGAAAACATAATAATTTACTCAATTTATAATTTTATTTCTCACTAGCTGTTGCTCGCGACTTAATCCACATAGAATATGATTCCTGTTTTATACGACGGGAGCATTTAATCGGGATAGAAAGTATCCTATCACCTAAGTCAGCCTACACCCTGCCTGTATACCAAATTTCATCAAAATACATTCAGTAGTTTCAGCTTGATTGATGGACAAACATCCAAACAAAGAAACATTTACATTCATTATATTAGTAGTGTGATATTCTAACTTATTCCAAGTACTCAAATTATATTATTTTTTCACATGAATCATAAAAATAAGTTCAGCTGTTTTTGAGTATATCGTGATCAGACTAGGTTCGAAAATAGAACAGGACGAAGACTGCCCCTTCTGAAATTGTTTTTATGGTAGGGTATGATATGGTATTTAAGGTAGTAAACGAGCACAACATCAGAAGAGGTACAAGTACGACGCCAAACCTTTAAACTGTCAAACGCCGCGAGGACACCGGTATCCGCACATCTATTGTTCTTTAATTCTGTCTATAATAACGGTACTCAAAGGGTTAAGGGATTACGGATGGGACAAGATTAGCCATCCGGCAATCTCAATAACACTGCGCAAGCGAGTCTTTGAAAGCTTAAAACCTCTTATAAGAACAGCAAAAAAATGTCACATAACAAAACAAATATAACCTAAAATTGTCCACTATTACACAATTGAAACCGCACCGATTCTCTATCAACACGACAGCCACTTAACATGACTTTACATGTTACATAGACAATTCTTAGGCCTCGTTCACAATAGAGCGAAATACAAAAATATAATAGAGTATTAGCCAGCTAAAACATAGCTGTTCCAAGTCTCATACAAAACCAGGGTGTTTACTCTTGAAACCAATCTCAATGTCAATGCAATTGCAATCCATTGAAAACTCAATAATTATTCAATGTCAAAACTATACAACTCTTATCGTAGCTGTTTAAATAACATTTAGAGTATAGAATATAAAACTAAACTCAATACCATTTAGTTCATTCAATATCCACGCAATACGGATGCAATGGGCGCTAGTGTTACAACTCATGAGTACGAAATTTCACAATATCAATGTCGATCGATCGGAATTGGATTCAAGAGTAAGCCCCCTGATAGATGTTCACTTCCAACCAGCCAATCCAGATGTTATTGGGGGAGATTTTTTTTTTAAATTTGTTGGGCCAACGTTTGACCACTATCTCGCTTGGTGGTAAGCGACGATGCGGTCTACGATAGAGCACGTCGTCCCATAAGCAAACTCGGGCCTTGAAGACACACAGTTTATACACCTAGCTTCCTTGTGCGTACTGCTAAGAAGTGGAATTCTTTGCCAGAGTCTGTGTTTCCTGAAGGGTATAACCTGGGTGTCTTCAAGGCCCGAGTGAATAGGTTGCTTATGGGACGATGTGCTCCATCGTAGACCGCATCATCGCTTACCACCAGACGACATAGTGGCCAAACGTAGGTCCATCAAATATAAAAAAGCGCTTTAAACCCGTTTGTAGTGGTCTGATGGCTCTTTCGAGATGCCCGCGGAACGTGCCGTGACGCGACGTACGTTCGGCTGGGCATAGACACTTTAATTGTAAAAGCGTTAACAGCCCAATAATGAAAAAAACACGAGTCTACCAATATGAACTACTGCTTACACAGTCCACAGACGACTCCTTATCTCAACAAGGTCAAACCAACATCAGTTCGCTAAAATATCACATCACCAACAGGTATTATGTCGTAATTATTTTAGACGATAGTAAAGATAATTTCGACTTGCTATGTGAATCCATTCATAAACACGTTGATAGTTATCAGGTTTATTTAAGTGAAAATGTGGTTTATTTTGTTTGAACTACGATTTATTTTCGTAAATGTATTCGACATTATTTCTATGGAATAAGCCGGTAAACGAGCAAACGGATCACCTGATGGTAAGCAACCGGCACCAACCATAGACACCTGGAACACCAGAGGCGTGACAGGAGCCTTACCGGTCTTTTGGGGATACTGGAGAGGGGAGAAATTGGACCTCCGGTCACCGATAAATAGTTATCGAGTCCCTTATGATAAGAGGTCAGTCTATTGTCATACACCGGGAACAATTTTAAGTCATGCTTATTTTAGGAATCATCCAACACTCGACCAACGAGGCAGTTTGGCAAAAATAGTATAAATAACTATAAATTATCCGAAACTGAAATATACCAAGGAAAAACGTGTTATAGATAAAAATACCAAGCAAGCCATAAAATTACGCAAACACTATACTATTCTAGACTCCATACTATAATAGATTTCGAAATAAAATATTCTTCATAATCATCAACAGCCTATAAATGCTCACTGCTGACCAAAGGCCTCTCTCTTCTCACACAGAGGTTTGAGCATTAATCACAATGCATGCTCAATGCGGGTTGGCAATTAGAAACTTATACTTAGAAATTATAAGCCCAGGTTTCCTCACGATGTTTTCCTTCACCGTCTGTCAGTGGTGTCTACATAATCTCAGAAAGTACATATAACTCGGAAAAAATCACATAAGGAGGGGTTAATTAGGTCCTCCGGTAACCTTACTCATACGACGAAAAACAACGCCAGTGTTGTTTCACGTCGGTTTTCTGTGAGGCCGTGGTATTACTCCGTTCGACTGGACCTCCAAACGTGAGCAAAGCCACGAGAATAAGTCAGTTCAGAAACAAATTACAAATACATGAAAACAACACATTATAACTCACAGTTCATCAAGTGTTATCATAAAACGGAAGCTTGCGCACGAGTTGATAAGTTGAAATAATAATAATAAGTATACCCAACATACATACATACATATAAACAGTTAATATTATTATGATTCATGGCTACATTACATTGATAACATTAACGGTTACATCGTTAGATTTTTCTGTTCGTACGAATGTGATACGAATCTATATTTTGGAACGAGCACCACTTTTTTATTTAGTAATTGTGAAGTGTGAGTGAGCCGTGCTTCGGCACGAATGGGCCGGCTCGACCGGAGTGATACCACGGCCTCACAGAAAACCAACGCGAATCAACGCTAGCGTTGTGTTTCGTCGTGAAAATGAGGTTACCGGAGGCCTAATTACTCCACCACAATCCTCAAATTCTCAATTCCCAAAAGGCCGATAACGCACTTGTAACGCCTCTAGTGTTTCAGGTGTCCATGGGCGGCGCCGATTGCTTACCATCAGGTGATCCGTCAGCTCGTTTACCGGCTAATCCAATAAAAAAAGAAGGATAAAAAAAGTCACACTACGGTTATCACGAGCCAAGCAGCGGATAAAACGGCGCAGGCGCAGCATATTCCTAATACGAATTTAAGTAAATCTAGTCACTACAAGTTATCTAGACACAGTAAAACCTGCATTTAGTGTAACGTACATACGTCTGCGCGTACGCCGAAGTGGTTCCAATCGGCACAGGTATGCGATATTACGACACATTAGGTAATACGTGTCGAAGCTAGCAATACTTCGGAATTGCCATTACATTATAGATATTGCGAGTTTCTCTAATCTATGCAGTCTGTTGAGTGGTCGGAAAAGGGTATAGTGGCCGATTTCAGGAAAAGAATAGATACTTAACAAGGATTATAACAACACTCTGTTTTTTATAAAGATCTCAGTAGTAGCATGGAGTCTGGAATTGTGCCCGGTATATGGCAATAGTCTCATCCCCTTACATGGGACTCGTAACATTAATAGTGAAAAGTGGGTGTTA